TACTGCTTGTTCGGGGCTGGCTGGTACATTACTTCTGTCTTCTTGGTGCTGATGGTGAGGCCGAAGTTGTTGCAGGCTGTGGAAAAACTGTCCATCTCCGCTTGCATTTCTTGCTCATTGCTGGCGTTGAGGCCACAGTCGTCAGCAAGGAGAAAGTCGCTAAGAATAGTTTCCTTCACCGTAGGAACAGCCTGCAGCCTCCTGGGGTTGAACAGTTTCCCATTGGACCGGTACCTGATGTTGATGCCAAGATCACAGTCCCTGAAGGCGTCAGACAGCATTGCCAAGAAAATCAAGCTGAACAACGTCGGGGCTTGGACACAACCCTGTTTGACTCTGTTGGTCACTGGGAAGGCTTCGGATGGTTCACCGTTGTTGAGGACTCTGGCCATCATGCCGTCATGGAATTGGCGGACGATTGTGATGAAAGTGCTCGGGCAGCCAAATTTCTCCATGATCTTCCAGAGGCCTTCCCGGCTGACTGTATNTGGTACTGCTTATTCGGGGCTGGCTGGTACATTACTTCTGTCTTCTTGGTGCTGATGGTGAGGCCGAAGTTGTTGCAGGCTGTAGAAAAACTGTCCATCTCCGCTTGCATTTCTTGCTCATTGCTGGCGTTGAGGGCACAGTTGTCAGCAAAGAGAAAGTCTCTAAGAATAGTTTCCTTCACCTTAGTAACAGCCTGCAGCCTCCTGGGGTTGAACAGTTTCCCATCGGACCGGTACCTGATGTTGATGCCAAGATCACAGTCCCTGAAGGTGTCAGACAGCATTGCCGAGAAAATCAAGCTGAACAACGCCGGGGCCAGGACACAACCCTGTTTGACTCCGTTGGTCACTGGGAAGGCTTCGGATGGTTCACCGTTGTTGACGACTCTGGCCATCATGCCGTCATGGAATTGGCGGACGATTGTGATGAAAGTGCTCGGGCAGCCAAATTTCTCCATGATCTTCCAGAGGCCTTCCCGGCTGACTGTATTGAAGGCCTTGGTCAGGTCAACAAAGGTCGTGTAGAGGTTGCGATGCTGTTCCATGCACTTCTCCTGGAGCTGACGAGCAGCAAAGATCATCAAAGATCATGTCATGTCATACTCTATGCATGAATTACGTATACTAACCAAAACCTTTCCATTGGTTAGTTCCTCAGTACAGAGTACACAACTGTTGTGTTTTGTGCACAGTCAAGGCCAAAAAAGCGAACAAAAGTCTACAACAAAGAAATTTGTCGGGTTTCATAATCATTTCCCTCTATTGACTATGACTCAACCCAATATTCATTTTATTGGTACCTCTCATAGGCTCACCAAAGTACTCCAGGTGTGGTTTTGACTCCTTTCAACATGGCCTTAGCTCTGTCCATTGCACAGATCCATAGATTTGAGGAAACAGTAAGTTAGAGTTGTCAACTTGATATACACTGTATATATCTCGTTATTTTCCTCTTCACTTCTTGTCATTTTACTTAAAAAATAACTGACTGTAATTCAACCATCAGATATTTGACTTTTTAAAGTCAGCAGTGCTAAGGAGTTTTAAGGATGAAGACAGAAGGAAACAATCCAAATGGGTTAGAGGTAATTATTTTGTAATGATTCTACTGGTTAAGGCAAGTCACCAGGGGATGGTTAAATTAAAGTAACAGGAAGATATAAACAATACAGGGGGTTGTAATTAGCAATTTTGAATTCTTAAGGTGTAAACTTTGCTCTGTAGTTTTTTTTTTTGATTATTTAATTGACATTTTGGCAGGTATTTTGTTGAGTTTAAAACGTTTCTTACCTCTAATGGTTTTTTTTCCTTGTCACATTGTCTTTTTCACTACCTAAATCAGATCTACTCAGGCTTGTATTTTTAATCACTGAAAAGGTTTAATTTTGTGTTTCAGAAAATNAGTGGCAAAGAAAGACAGTGTTTCGTCAATATTTTCAAAGTACATGTATCAACTAAGAAAACCAACGAAAATACTTTTCACCACGAGATTTATAGTACTACTTCGAAATTATTCCACAGAAGTCACGTCACAGTAGGCTGGCAGTAAAATTAATGCAACAATACTCACTTGATTCAGTGTGGAAGAGTTGACTTAAAAACAATTCTTAACAATGGAAAGTGAGTACCGTGCTTGCAGAACTCAAAATTAAGTTTTTCCCAGCCATAAAGGTGTAGAAAGATTGATTGCCAAACACATTTCACTTTAACATGTCTTAAATGTGAGCTTTTGAAAAGTAGGTGGATTTTAAGGTTTTAAAGTGAGTACTGTTGCTGAGTACTGTTGAGTTATGCAAATAAGAAGTGACCAACTCATTGTCCACAACACTAAAAAATGTCACACAACATTGTTTCATAAACAAATAAAGGGAAATGATTTCCAGCACCTGGAAACAACTTTCTAATATTCGGTACCCTTTGGACAAAATTATTGTTTACGATGCCTGCTCACTGCATGTATCTATTCATGCTACAGATGATTTCAAAATTTAACCTTCCTGCATGCCTTCCCAGGGTGAAAATCTTCTCTTTTCCTTAAAAAAAATAAAAGACTTTTGCTCGCTGTTCGACAGCAGTTATTGTCATTCAGTGTTAACCATGTTTGTCCTTTCAACTACTGCACGCGCAAGTATGAGGTACTGCAGAACAAATCCCGATTTACACCATGCATTTGTGTTGGGAAAAATTGAAAAAAAGAAAAAAGTGTTAGTACATTTACATGTAAACCACAAAATAGCTCAAAAATACTCATTGTATCACAATCTATTCACAGAGTGGAGAAAAAAACACATTTAGACCGTGAAAAACCACTGAAGAGTGACATTCTATTTCTCAACTGAAATTCAGACAACCATGGACAAAAGTCTTGGCACAAATTTGCATTTTTGGCGCTTTTGCCCACATGCCAGACACAAATAAAACTTCACCTGCTTAACCTCGCCCCCCACCCCACATACAATGTTGTAGACTAGAACCAGCAATTTTACCTGATTTAAACATTGTATTGGGTGGGGAAGGGGAACAGCAACAGTTTTTAAAAGTATAGCAGCACTTTTTCAAACTTCAGTTGTAAAACACAGATAATTTGTTACATTATGTAGGTGTCCCAAAGACTTTTGTCCATGATTGTAGACAATGTATAATATTATATTGTATTGTGTATAATGCCATTGATTTAGAGGATTTTTTCTGTAATGATGGTACAGGGTGTGTATTACATATATACTGGTATGGGGTAAAATCCTTGCTTACTTTATGTTGTCGCTTTGGTTACATTTACTTACATTTTCATGTCCTCTCTTTAATATTTCTTCAAAGCACAGTACTGCTCAGTGATTTATCCAAACTTCTTAATTTTTTGATAATGAATTTATGCAGTCAATTAACAGGAATGAAAAATTCATTTTAATAAAATTTGCAGAAAAATATACCACAAAATTGTAAGGAAAATTGTGATGCCAGCTTTGAAATAGGGCTTTGTCATACTACTATGTAACTGGCGAAGTTTGTAATCTGTTGCCTCTTCATTGTAGCTTGTTTGGTTGGGATCATGTGACCCAGGGACTAGTGCAGCTGGGCTTTACTCTAATGGATGCATTTGGTCCCAAGATTTTTGGTACGTTTTATAGTTTAAATAAGAATAAATTATTCATTATTAAGGATGAAAGTATTCTTGTATGTGCATTAGATTGATGTGTATCTATTGTGTGTGCACAAATCCATAAGGAGCTAAAAGAGTCTATTGACTTGCTTGTTGCTGTTAAGATTATTTTTTTGTGTGTTCGTTAGTGACACCTGCCTGCTTGGTGGATGCTAAACTGAATAAAATTTTCACCAAAGTGTCAGTATTCACAAGAAAGAGCATGCTAGCACGAGTACATCTCATTTTGTTTTCATGTCACTGATTTTAAAAACATAGCGTCAGATCCCTCAGGGTGTTCCTTTAGAGATAACACTGGACCCATTGAACACAAAAAGATGGTGTCATCCCTGGAAATCCATGATGAGATGACAAGAAATTGGATCTAGGTGACATGCTCCTGACCATGTTTCTGCTTTTCTGTGTTGGGTTAAATCCATCAAACAGTTCAGTCTTGGATGAACATTGCCACCACCTTGTGCTGTGAACTATTTCACCACCTTTATTTTTTGTTTCTTTTTTGGAAAGAGAAACCTTTCTGGAGTATTATTTGACTTCTTTCATCTTCATTTAGATTCCACTTCCTCACCAAACCTTACTCCAACACAGTATGCATACAAGCTTGGATCTTCAATTCTGCTAGATACTTTTAAGGTATATCTGCATTTAAAATGTTTTGAAGGTAAATGGTTTTGGTCCTTCTGTTCAGGTGGTGCCTTTAAGTAATGTGGAGGTGTGGGAAAAGATAAGACCAATTCCCACAATTCCTAATTAGCCACAAAAAGTCATACCCTTCTTGTTTACAATACAACTCATTTTGATAATTGCATATATAGTTTTATTAATGTGCAGTTTTTATTTTAGGCTCATGAGATGGTAAGATGTGAAATTCTTCAGCAAATCCTCAACAGAGTAATCACCAAGGCAACAACGCCTGTCCACCATTATATCGGTAAGTCAGGAACAATCCAAGATTATGGAAATAGTACTGTCTGATGATCTCTATTATTAGTGATAGTTATCCCTACTACTGTCAGTAACTACTTTGGAGGAACAGCTGAATACTTGGTGTCTGACCAAAACCTAGATCCGGATGCCAAGATATTAAGCTCTTGCCATTGTCATCTGCTGTTCTTACAGTCTCTCTTTGCCCAAGTGTATTTGGCCCCTGACATACTTAAGGATCCCATCCAGAAAGTCATTTTAGCATCAACTAAATTTACCATGAATAGTAAGCACTATGAATTTAAGAGTTATTTGGAACTTCTATTTCAGGTTTTTCTTTAGTTTTATGTAACTGTATGAAATTAATACACAATGCTGGAATAAAGACATGAATGAACCTTCTTTTTGTATCTTTCCTACAACACATGGCTAAAAAAAAGTGCAAAAACAGACTAGAGTGCTCAATGATAGACTTCTTAAACCATACCTCATTATACAAATTAGGGAAGAGACTATCATAAACTTTTGTTTTTTGCCTGTGAGAACCTCAATATTGCCCAGATTTTTTATTTCAAATCTTGATACATGTAGAAGAAGGTCAAAGGTTAATCACAGTATTTATTTCAAAACGATATCGGGCATACCAAGATTTGTTTTAAGCTAGCCCATAAAGTTATGCAATTTTTGCCGTTTCCATAGGGGCTTGATTAGGCAATTCTTTGACAGTTGATGGAACCCTTCAAAATGCTTGAAAGAATTAAAACTTCCTACTGTTAGATAGAAGAAAGAGAAAGCTCCTATGCTAAGTTTATCCTGTGTAAATTGTTTCAAAGCAAATGCCGAGAACTTTTTCATTTTCCTGATATTTTTGTACATTTAATGAGGCAAAACGCTGTATTTTTGTTTCTTGCAAATAATTTGAAGAAATTATTTCTTGAAGACTTTATATTCTTAGAAAACCAGAATGATATTTTCAATAGTAGTTCCCTAGAAGCATTTTTAGGCAAATTTTCAGGGTTTTTGATTTTGTGAACCTGGTCAGCAATCCTCCATATTTTCAGTGAGTGACTCTTAATGTTTGGTTTTCAGATCTCTTGGCCAGTACTGTTTCTTCAGCACCACATGTGTTGTTGGAGTCATTGCCAAGGGTAGGGAGAACAGTCCTGTCACTGTTTTGTTGTAAAAACTTGTAGCAAGTTACAGAGAATTTACTTGAGAAGCAATTGTTGTTTCAGTGTTCTCTGAGAGCACCTGCAACCAGCAAACTAGGATTCTCTTACTTAATTACACTCAGTTCTTTTTAGCCTGCGAATACAGCTGCCTCTCATTCGCTCCTTTACAGGCTAGGTTCTTTGGAGATATACAAATTTCTAAAAATGATTGAATAATAATAATAATAATAATAATAATGATGATAATGACAGTGACAGTGACAGTGACAGTGATAGTGATAATGATAATAATAATAATAATAATAAACAAGTGAATATTAACGTTAAAAGCCGACGTTTCGGAGTCATCGTGACGCCATTCTCAAGGCAAAGTGAACAAATAATGCGATATTGATGATTTGATTTCTATAGTCTCTGCAAATTAACATAATAATAAAGGATCACAAATTCTTTAAGTGAATACCTTTGCGTGAATCAAATCTGTTTACACGTTTAGGGATGGTTTAAGTTTTCTTATAAAAAGCATCTCCTTAATTAGGCAATCAAATTTGTTAGTACATTTGGCAAGCATGTGAAATTGTTCTGAAACACAAGGTGGTACGTTCGAAGTATGTTCGCTAAAGTTATGTTTACAAATTGACAACGATTTTTGGCTGGATGAAAAATTGAAACCACTCTCATGCAATCAGTACACGGTTACAGACACCTTTGTACAAAGCCTTGAGATAAACAGAGGTGATATCCTAGTATCCTATGATGTCACCTCTTTATTTACCAATGTACCACTGGATGAAACTATCCAGATTTTAGCTGACAAAGCTTTCAGTGATGACTGGTTCAACAACACCCATGAACTGAACCTATCAAGAGACCAGCTAATTGAACTACTCAACGCAGCCACTAAGAATCAACTATTTCAGTACAATGGAAATCTCTATGAGCAAACAGATGGGGTTGCAATGGGATCCCCTCTTGGTCCTCTGCTCGCCAATGTTTTCATGTGCTCCATTGAAGACAAACTTAATCAAGATGGCAAATTGCCCTCCTATTATCGACGATATGTTGATAACACCTTTACCATCATGCCTGACATAGCATCAGCCGAAGTTTTTCTTGACACCTTAAACCATTGCCACCCATCAGCAAAGTTTACTATGCAGGTGGAATGGAATGCCTCGCTTCCTTTCATTGGTGTTCAAGTACTAAACTTAGCCCCCAGAATCAAGACCAAGGTCCATGTAAAACCAACCAACACGGGCCTTTTACTCCACTACCAGAGCCATGTGGACATTCGGTACAAGGGCAGTCTAATAACCACCATGTTAGATCGTGCTTAGCGCATGTCGTCCGACTGGTCGTACTTCTCACAAGAATGCGATCGACTTGAGACGGTTTTCTTAAAGCTTAAGTACCCGAAGCACTTATTCAATCTGGCTGTCAAGCAATTCGTAGATTCCAAAGTAGCAGACCATCAGCACATTCCATCAACCGACACGACTACACCCCCCATCCGAATCATCATACCATTTTAAGATCAGGTCTCTACTAATGTAGTGAAAAAACGTCTCACAGACCTTAGCTCAAAAATCAAGACCACCATTCAGCCCGTGTTTGTCAGCAGAAAACTCAACCAAGACCTTAAAGTTCGAGAAGTCAAGCCAGCCACTGTTAGCCAACAATGTGTAGTTTATAAATTTCAATGTAACCTGTGTGATGCAGGATATGTTGGTTACATTCGCAGCCANTAGTACATATTGAATGAATATCTGTAACTCTGTATGTGAAGTATAACTATTCTCATCAGTACACTGTATCATCCAGCTATTTTTCACTAAATCTGTATGTATAATTTATATAGTCTTTTTTGTGTGTGTGCTCTTGCATGTCTTTTTCTTATTAATTTTTCTCTTCTTATTTGACCAAATTAATAATCACTTTAAATCCCTAAGGATGGCTGCCCAATCTTATTAACCCATTAACAACTGCATTGCTAAAATGGAGGTTGGGTGCCTGAGGCATCCAGGAGCTTCCACTATTGGCAGCCAGCTCCCAGATGGAGACTGCTCCCATGGCTAGCAAATCCTGGCAACCCAGCCATGAGCCCCTACACAGTAAGAGGAACTGCTTAGGTGATGAGCTGCCACTACAAAAACGCAAGAAAACACCTGTACGTACTCCACGCTACGATCCACGAAGACATGGAATTCCAACACATGTGCATATGTGTCGACACCGCTGACTACCAGGGGAACACAAGCACTCTTTTTGTTAACTCCATTAAATTGCATTTAACTGCATTTAAGGTTATTTCGGGCAGCCATGTACTCTTTTTATTTTAACTCAGTTTTGTTCATCTAACTCTAATTTCTCTGTTGATTACAAATAAAGTTGTTGTTGTTGTTGTTGTGTATACTTACAAAAATGGTTTATTGTACATACATAATGGCTTTTTCAACACCCTTCATTCAAGGAGCTGACCTCCTCCAAAATGAAAACTTTGTAGTTCGGCTGGTAGGGCATAGAACAAGTACTGTAATGTTCATGACTTAACTTTAATGTGTAGTGCTTGTTTTGCTTTCCAGATTAAAGAGGCTCTAGACTATCTGTCCTTCTTACCACCAAAGTCAGCAGAGGGTTTTCTCAAGGCCATCCAGGTATGAGCTCATGCTAATTCATAAATACATCATTTTTGTGCTTTTTTTTGTTTTGAAAATTTAAAGCAAATGTCTTCCACTTATTTAACAGCCGCTGTTGAAGATCAGCTTATCCTTAAGAGATTCTCTCATTCTTGTGTTAAGAAAAGCCATGTTCTCAAGGTAAAAATGAACATGTCTAACATCTAGTATATAAATACATGTAAGAATGAACTAATAGCCTTATATATCATTTTTGTTAAGTCAGAAATTTGGTTTCAGTGTGAAGAGAGTCGGTTCAAAACTCACAGTAGACTACAAATTTACAAGAGAGTTAGATTTTAAAAACATCTTTGCAAGCTTTCTTTATATAAAATTATATATTACAAATGACGACTTTCTCAAGACTGGCAGGTGCTCGTGGAAATGTCATAGTTGGTATCCTAGAAGTTTTCTTTTGTAAGAGATCCTCAACTCTGTGTTGTTCGTGCACAATGTAGAGTTACTTGATGTCCTTACCTGTCCACCTATTAGTGTTTGAACTTCCTAAGCTTGTTTTATTTTTGCAGGCAAGTTGATTCGCGTAAGATCGCAGTGACAGGATTTCTCCTTATTCTCAAACATTTCAAGGTACAGATAAAGTAGTCTGAAAAAAAAAAATGAAGACTGTAGTTAAAAAAATATTGTATGCTAACAACATTAAATTACATACATGTATGAAGTGATGTATTTTTTTTAGCTTCATTTGATTTGTCAATAAAACAACTGGAAACTTTAATGTTCCCCAAAATAAAAATTCAGTCAGGAACTTGTCCACAACATTATGCCATCAGCCCACCTGACTTGATACTGTATGACTGACCATGCAATTTTTAAAAGCACACTAGTTTTTGCATATTTTGAAATTTTGTGGTTTAAAATTTATACAAGATTTCAAAGTTTGAGTTTAGTTGTGGAGATAATTTGGCAATTTTATCGGGCCTAAAAATTTCATTGTTGTGGACAAGATGCAGGGCCATTTTTTTAAAGAAAATGCACCATTTTGCAGTGCTTAATTGATGACTAGATTTTATTTAACGAGAGAACTTGAAAGTTTGCAGTCATTTAATAACATTGGTGGATAGAACGAAACAAAATAAGTTTTTGCTTCATGTGCACTTTTTATCACATTGATTCCTAAAGTAAACAAAAACTCTGGAGAGAAAGTAAAACTCCTCACTGCAAAACAACAAATTTTCAATACATCAAGGCACTAAGATTTAGTCAAAGATCTTTTTTGGGGGGCTTAGTGCCAGGATCAGATAGTGTGCCATATTTTCTTTATGGTTAGTTACATGTACATGTAAATGTACTGGATGTTTGTTTTGCTGAAAATTTGCATAATGTACATCATTCAGATTTTAGGAGGAAGTATGCCATCGAGTCAGTCTGGTAGTCAGCTGAGCCAGACATTATCACATTCTAGTCAGATTCAAGTGGATGTCCATGTCAGAGGTGGTGGTGTCGGGAATGAAGCACTATGCTTAGAGATATTAGGTGAATTGAACATGCCATAAAATCCTGTGGCACTGTACATGTTCTCTCCAGAAAACAATTGCTTGTTTTACTCTTGTTGTGATAGATGGTCTGAGCACAGACAAATAAAATGAACATGTGTACCTACAGTACAGTGCACCTATTTTATTTAACTTGTAAACAAGGTGTATTTCAAAATTTAGTGTAGTAGGACAGTGAGTATAAGTCAGCAACTGGCTATGATGACTGGCACTTGCAGCAAAGATGACGGCCAACTCAAAAGTTAAAATCAATTTTCAAGTCATGGTACATAGTACATGCACTGAGTATTATCAGTAGCAGAAACAGTAATCATTTTTTACTTATTCTCTGACGATGTTGAAATGCCAAAAGTGAAGTAGTGAATTAAGAGGGCACTTGGTACATGTTTCTTTTGACAGCAGGTAGAATGATGTAACTTGGTGATAAGGCAAGTTTCTTTCTGCTTTATTATTGATTATTGTGTTACATTATTTTGAGGTTGTTCTATTTTTGCAGTATTGTTTTTTAAAAATCACTTTCTACCTTAAATTTTAGTATTAGGAAAAGGGCATTTGAAGTTGTATTAATCTTAAATGTGGTATTTCTTTAATTTGCTTAAGGTATGTATGTAAATCTGTAAGTTTGTTTATTATTAGTCCTGAGCATCTTTCTGTCTTTATCTCAAGGAAACCTTCGCAGGTGTCTTACTCAGCAAGCAGATGTAAGAGTGCAGCTTTACGAGGTGAGGTTCTCTTACAGTATACGTATGACTTGTGGCTCCCTTGGGTCTAATTGTTATTTTAATACAACATAACTAATAAAACTTGTACCTTAGCTTACATTGTTATCATTGTTTTAGGGTTTGTTCTATGTGCTGTGTAGGAACCCTCAGTTACAACAACCAATCTTGGACATGTTTAATAATCAGGTAAATCATAACTTGTTGCTACATGTCCTGTTGTTGCTCAGTTCTTTTAATACTGTTTTTGCCATCACAAACTCATGATCATGCTAAAAAATAAGTAAATGATTTTTTTTGTACACTGAGTTAGTGGCTTGTCTCTAAACTAGCTGAATTTAATGAATAGCAATTCTTGAATAGCAAAGTACATTGATGTCTTTTCTGATAGCAAATGGTAGCTAAGAGTGATTGTAGTGAGTGATGCCTAAAAAAAGGGAAGACTGGTAAAAAGCTGGGTACGTTTGACATCTTAATTAAATCCTTTTACACTGCCACAGTTTCAGAAATATTTTGAGTCAGATGAAAGTGTCAATCCTCCAGTGAAAGTGGAACCATGTTTGTCAGCTGCAGGGGACCAGGTCTACCTAACTGAGCCACTGGTGAGAAATATTATTTTCTCTTTTATTCATTGAAAGAGAATTTGATTTGTTACTTTTGTTGTTAAAGTAAGCTGTCCTCCTACATTATAGGCACATTTGCTGTGCTACCTACTTCACTCAATGGAAAAATGTATTGAAAATCACAATCAAGATGAAAATGAAGAAAATGGTAAGTGAATTATTAAAACGAGACTAAGCAAGCACAAAGGCTAAGTATGTCACTATGATAACTAAGCACAACACGTTAGGATCCATAATGTTTTTGAATGTATCTATCAGGTCAGTATTTTGGGAAACATACTTGCCGCGGCCAGGTTTTGTTTACCCTTTGATCACCATTGTATAATAAAGTATGTTATAGCAGAATGTTGGCTGGAAGTCTTGCCCCTCTTTCTCATCACTGGTGATGGCAGAACTTCACAATACTGTTTAATCTTGTCAGTAATCTCATGCACAGGAAGATGTCTTGTGAGTTTTTATGCATTTGGGCATAGCTGCAGTGCATCACAGAACATTTCCAGTCTAGTGGCACAAACTTTTGAGTTTGCAAAAATGTGACATCACTAACACACTGTACAAGTGTGGGATACTTAGTGGAGAGTCAAATCTTACTACATGCATGTGACTAGTGCTTCAAATGAAGTTCAGAACATTAGGAAGAGTGTTGCTTGTCATAATTCAGTTGTCCAGAAGTGCAAGTTGCTTTGTCATTATAGTTGGTCACCCCAAACATTCTTTGCAGTTGTCTCAGACAACCTTATGTTCACTTTATTTGTAAAGTATTGTTAACATGTGTGGCTTCATAGCTCAGTTGGNCTGTTCCTCAAACTCACTTGCAATAGGAAAATAACACTAAATAAATGTATTTTTTTGATCTTCTTATTTTTTGTTTGTTTGCTTCTAGTGCTGAATCAGTTGAAGAGATTCTGCAATTATTTGGAAATTATCACCAACTCTCAGAGATATTGAAGGAAAAGGCAAACACTACTGGTATGATTCTACTCCATTTTCACAAACGGAATATTTCTTTTTTGTACCACAGTAAAAATATGTTTATCCTTTAGCAGTGCATTACATGTACATGCATAACCCATGACAGTTTTTTGAGTGTCAAATGTGTGTTTGAATAAATGCAACAGACATGATTCAAGAGATGCATTGTAGCCATTGCCTTCCTGATTTACTTTTTGCTGTTTTTATTAAGATTATGTTATTATCTAATTATTAGATTGAAATACACACCTACATCACTCTGTTTTTGTGGTCCCCAGATAACTTAGGATATCATATTATAAAGATACAGTTTGTCTATAAATTTCCCCTCAGAACATTGAAAATAGGAATGAGCCACTTTGTTTTTTCATTGTCTTAGAACATAAAATATTTCATGAGTTTGACAAGCAAAAATGTTTCATGCAATACGCTTTACTAGTGTAATACTTTATGTTTGTCAAGCACAATACCTTGTCATTATCTGCCTGTATCATTTTAAAATTGTCATTGATGATGCATACTGTACAGTACAAAATATTTCTTCTTACCCTTTTTCAATCCTGGTAATTTAATTTGTCTCATTTGAGTTTGCTGCTTACCAGTTTTATTCTAAAATTGCCTCAAGGAATTATAATTGGTTTTTTTCCATTGTAGGGAAGAAAGGGCGCTCTACAGCTGGGAAACAAGGAGCTAAGAGCATGCTGTCACTTGAATGTTCTGCATCATTGTTAAGAGCATTGTTCAGGTAATGTTTTTGCTTAAATGTTTCTTTAGGTTATGTGTGTAAAATTGGCATGGTGGAATGTATGAATCACTCATAGTGATAAAGAAAATGCTGTAAAAGCAGGAATGTGTTGAAAGTATACACAATGTTTGTGGTGAAACTTTGTTTTTCATAGGACACAACAAATCATACATTTCGGTGCTATGGCCTTAAATGATCGTACCTCATTTGCTGGGTAGTACCAAGATACTGAAACGACATTTTGTCAAATAATAGTTTATGATGGTCAAAGTGGAACAAGGTTCACATTAAATTGCTAAGTTAAAGCAACACTCCCTTTGTTATGTGCTATGTCAATTCCTTTTTAGTGACACAGCTCCAAGTCACCAGCAAAGTTTAACTGCATTGAGAGGTTCAAGAGATTTAGTCAAGTATGCTTTAAATACAGCTCTTCAAAAACTCAAGGAGGTATAAGGGCACTAATTTTCTGTACTATTTTCATTGTTAGTAATACTTGAATATATTTTACACCTTACATGATCCAAATTGTTTATTACTTTAGACAAACAAAGCCTAGAATATAATTGAGAGCTATTGGGTAAGCCAAACATTGAGCCTGTAGTTGAAAATAATTCCACAGATTTTGGATTATGTGGGAAAGGCGGTCAGTGCAATCTGAGATATATGAGTCATACATGTATCTAAAGGGCCCATGTTTGATTGTATTTTAAGGGAATAGTTCTTCTTACACTTATTCTTAAGAACTCACAAGTGCATATATGACTCTATACTCTAGCTTTATGGGGTGAATATGAACTTGAACTGACCGATCATAGTGTGCACAATTCCTTGAACATTTTGTGACACATAATAATAGCCAGTGAAGCATTAATAATTCTTTTATTCCTGATTTGAATAAGTATTGGTTTCCTAGATCCATGACAATGCAATTTGTTCAGGACCTGGTGGCTCTACTAAAGAGAATGTTTACAAACATTGTTGTACTNTGAGCCAACAGTTATCCAATCCTCTATCCATATGCAACATACAATTTTCACTGAGTGTCTTAACTTTTAGCTTTAAACTTGAGCATTCCAGCGATTTGACATGTTAAGTGACATTGGCACAAACAAAGGCAGAAACTGCATGTGCACATAATGCATTTAATCACTATGGAACAACAATAACCATTCGTGCGATTTTAAAATCTTTTAAGTTGGGCCCAAACCCATCTTGAACTTCTGAATTGATGAAGCTAATGGTAATAATAATTATTACCAATTATAACAATTATTGTTATTCAGGGTAAGAAAGTCAACAGTTTGTGTTTAGAGGGATTTTGCTTGGTAGTTAACATCATGTGCTGCCGGTTTGCCCAGAAGTTGCCTCACTTCATGAATGTCATAGGTGAGTAGGAAAGCTGTTAATGCCTTCATCCTACTGTAGTGTTCACTGCTTTGTTTTGTGGGTGTCAATCACTTACATCTTTAAGCACTTCTGAGGTTAGGTTTCTCTTTGACTATCTCTGTTTATATTTTCTAGACTCAGGTCAGGATGGCGACGGAGGTGCAACAAATGATGCAAGTAACCAAGAAGCTGTTTATTCACAAATAAAAAAATTCCAGGTTGGTACCATAAGGATATGAAATATAATGCTGTGGGAATTATATTTCTTGTCTTTTATATGAGCGATTAAAATATCTCTATAGTTTAAAAATGTTTAANAAAAGGATAAAACAGATGTAAACTATTATAAACTATGTACAATGAAAATATATAAAATAGAATATTAAATGACTATTTACAAAATATGAATCAGGTCACTGACAAACAATTAATGTATATTTAAGAAGCGTTCTAGCACGCTCTTAAAACGGATCAGGCTCCTAGCCTCAACAATGGACCCTGGTAGACTATTCCAGTCCCGCACAATTTGGATAGGAAACAGGATTTAAAATCAGCATAAGTTGTAGATTGCACGACAAAAGGCAGTATCCGAGAACGATGTAGTTGCAATAATTAATCAAAGGAAACTATGAAGAAGTTGTGGATACAGTGCTTACAAAATGAGGAGGTCTCTTTTGATTTCTCACAACACCGCAGGATTTTTGTGTCACTGTAGATAATTTTGTTTATATCTAGTTATGTAACTGTGTTTCTTATTGTTTGCCACAAGAAAGTTTTGGTTGGGTATTATGGACTTATAAGTTGTCCTACTTAAGTTTCCAATTGTTTAGTTTATGTTTGACTCATAATTTTACTGATATAGTGCTAGCCTGAGAGTGCTAGTAGGCTCTCTCAAAGTTTCGCTCATAAGATTCACTCACAAATTAAGGCTCGCTATCCAGCCAGCTGGAGCTCATAAACTCTCTTTGAGCTTAGAGGATTGACAAGCCAATGTCTCAGGAAGTTCAATGACTCTTCACAGTCAATATCTACACACAAAGTTAAACCTTAAGTCTTTCAAACAGTTACTAGCAATGACTTGGTTAAACTTGTGCTGACCACAACAAATATCAATTAAAGAAAAGCTGAAGCATAATTGAATGTATTACGTTGCAGCATTACTTTGTAAATTTGATATGTCAGAAAATTGATATTGATGATTGACATATTGATTAGTTTACAACTGAGTGAGTGGCAAATTGACATGGTCTGAAATCAAAGGCTCTTGTGAGCCAGCTCATGGAGGAATTGGTGGATTGGGAGTATTGAAAGTTAATAATACAATGAAGAATCCAATGAAAAGACAAAATGTAGGTCCACAGAGCATACATGTGCCTACATACATTTACTTGATCTATAATAATTAGTTTATACTTAATAATTTTTGAAATGACTTTTGAAAGCCTTCTTGAAAACTCAAGTAGTACAAATACAGTGTAACTAGGTAAGTAAACGAAAATCAAATTACAGGCTGTTTATACAGACTGCTTATAGAGGAGGGCATTGGGATTTTTGGTTTTGCTGTTTTGACTATTTTTTAGATTGGTTTTTCGGTTTTGGTGTTCATTGCAGTTTGACGATTTTTCGTTTTTTAGCATCTGGTTTTCAGTTTTCGTGAAAAATACTGGCAGTTTTTCGGTTTTGGTATCCGATATAGTTTTTGGTTTTTCCTATTTTGTCCTGTTTGGGTTCCGGTTTCTTCGATTTGAGCCGCAATTGATCTCAAATAGCCGCGAAACACCAAAGTTATCGAGAGGAATGCGTGACAAACTAAATGTCACGGTAGGGGATCACGCGTCTCAAATGACACCCGAGACTTTGACCTCGCAGACCAGAGCAATCATTTGGTCAGTTTCCAACGTGCCTCCCATGCCAACAACAGAAGAAGCAACTGTGGATTGTGTTGTGTTTTTTACTAGGAAGGGAAAGGCGGCGAGAATTTTCGAAAGAGAAACACCTTTAGATGTAAAGTGAAAAAGGAAAAGAGAAGCCTGCAAAATGTAAAAGATACTCTAAGATACAAAGGCTTCAGACAAGTCCACTTATCGGTCTTTGACGGTTTTGTATGTGGTTTTCAGTTTTGGGCAAATTTTTCTCCGGTTTTGCGGTTTTGGATGATTTTCTTCGGTTTTGCGGTTTCTAATATACCTCGATGCCTCCCTCCTTATAAATTTTAAAATGGAATAGATCAATTAATTTTGATTAGTACTGGAAAATCATTATTGTATTATATTGACTTGTACATGTAGTGTCAATTCACTTTTACAGTCTGTTGCACAATGAAGCCAATAAATGAGAGTTCACCACAATCACCAGTCCCAAATTGACACCCAGTTAGAGGAGTTGGTTATATAGAGGATATTACACAGTGGTGAGAAGATATGAATTTTATGTTTGAGTGCCAAGAACATAATATTGATATCGTTCTTGCCAAAAGAACATAGAATTCATATCTTTGAGTTAACGTGTAATGTTCTTTTTATTATATAGACATACTGATGACGGTACATTTGACGATTTTCTGAAGATTACCAACCGCCTTCCAAAAATTTCCGAAGATTCTCCAAAACTTGTCTGAAGGTCACACAAACTTTGCTGAACATTTTCCGAAAATTTCTGAAGATTTCCGAAGATTGCTGAAGACCACAAGGACCATAATTTGGTTGTGGTCCTTGCTCAGTTAACATTCTAGTGTTGCATTATGAAAAGGCTGTATCACAATTGTGCGGAAAGTATGTCACATGGTTTTGACATTAATAATTTTAAGACAATCAGCTTGAGAATGCGAAGAATATTTTGCACAATTATACTTTAGTGGGACACAGATATTACGAGGGATCCACTGTAAATTACGATGGATCCACTGTTAATTACGAGGGATCCTCTGTAATTGGCTAGGCTGTAGTGGTCTCCCTGCCTAATAATAAAAATTTTATTTATACAAGTATTTTAACTAGTTAGGCAAAGTTGAATAAGTAAATAAATAAATAAATAAATAAATAAATAAGTAAATAAATAAAAAATATTGCTAAAATCTTGTTTATTTTTTGCTACGGCAAACAAACAATTTGATTCTAGCTAGCTGGTAAATGGGAATAGAGAGAAAAGTATTTCTGCAAATATTATAAGAATCATTTCAAACAGTTTTCAGCATCCCTCCCAGAAAGGGCTACTTGAAAATGTTTGGCTGAAAATGATACTCTGCCATAAAATCCCCTGCTACATCTTGTACCAAAAAAGTTCAATTTTGTTGCGATTTTGAACCCAAATTTAAGGGAATGTTTTTATTTACAATTATATAAGTTTTCTCCATGTAACTATGCCCAGGGGAAGGGAGAAGGGACCCAACCAAGTTTGCACCAGGAGGCTCAGCCCCAAGGTCAGAATCCTTTCACTTTTGTATACTGTTTTCTATACTTTTGTATACCTACAGTGGACCCATTACATCTCTTTTCGTGGATAAATTAGCAGCGAGTCTTTAAAATCCCTGCCTTTTTGTCATACCTCCTGCCTTATAAAAAGTGCACCTTGAGTGAACTGTAGGGAGTCCCCCCTCCCCCCATCTTAATGTAATACAAAATAAAAATGGTATTGCAGATTGTACTGTAGACAATAACAATAACAATAGTTTTCTTTCTTGGAAACAGAAATCACATTATTTTATTCCTATCTTGGCAACTGTTTGTATTAGTTTCGCAAGCAATGCAGAAATATTCAAAACGATTATTGACAGATATTAATATAATTACAGTCGAACCCCTATTAAGCGGCCACCTATTAAATGGGCACCCCTATTAGGTGGCCAGTAATCAAAGTCCTGATGAGGTTTTTTCTATTGTTTTTGCCTCTATTAAGTGGCCAGCCCCTTTTAAGCAGCCACTATCCGTTTCCCCAAGGGTGGCCGTTTAATAGGGATTAAACTGTAATTTAAAGTTTTGATTCCAATTGCTTACATGTCTCATTTCTAGAGGAAAAATAAAATTATACATACATCACCAGCCACTATGCCTGTTTGGCATGGCTTGTGTTTGTCATGATTGGAAAGTAAATCTCTCTTGCAAAAAGTATATCTACACAGTGTCTTGGATGCTAATTTGTCTATCCATCACTCAAATTTTAGGACATAATTTACTCGATCATGAATGCTGACTTGTATACCACTCATGAAGAAATGTTCACTCTGGTCAAACTGCATAGAATACAGAGGAAATGTAGGGTGAAGAACTGCAAAATTAAAAGATAAAGCAATTTGAATTTTTTGCTTGAAGTAAGCTTGTTTTAAAGTCAAATTAAATCACAGATTTCGAATTTAAGTTAGGAGCACTGCCAGAATTTCAATGTATACATAAAAAATAAATGAAGCCAAGAACTTAGGCTTTAACCTTGGACTCTACAAGGACGGAAAGCGAGTGGAAAATCATCAAATTCTCTAGCCAAGAAAAAAGCTATGAGTCTAATGATATCCACATCTATTAAACATGATCTCACTTCCTGACTTTGACTTGTATCTCAGTTCTTTGACGTTGCTGGCCGCGCTGTTGTGACCTATACATGTACATGACCACAGTCAAATACCTCTCTCGGCTTTCAGCTGCATGTGACCAATAGTCCATAGGCAAAATAATACATATTTACAAAAGCGAAACACATGAATCAAAATGGCCGCTCTCAACTTTGGAGGTCTTCAAGAAACTCACACCCAGGCTCTACATGCTAAAAGTTTACATCTGAGTGAGTGCCGTATTTGCATATTCTGCCCCATAACATTAGTCATTTCTATGCTTCACGTATCCATGGTTAAAAAAAAAAGTGTAGGAGTATATTTTGTTTCAAGTGAGTTTCAAATAGGCGAAAACTACATACAACATAGTAAATCTTACCCCAAGGTGGGATTTATCTCAATTTAGTAAAAATCACAGAGAGGTCATCTACACTTTATAACTGTTCAGTATGTTTGAAGGGAATCTTAATTGACTGTAAAGCAGTTTAAGTTCTAAAGTTCTTTAACTGATCATGGGGTCTTAAGTTGATATCTCTGCAAGTGGTTCAAATACGAAGTGTTTGGTTTCCAGTTTAAAAAATTACCTGGGCATCACCACGTTTACTTAATAGTAAGTTATGATGTCATTGCGAGGCCAGAGTTCTGAATATGGTGTCCACAGAAGATGAATTCTTGTTTGAACTGTACATATTCATACAATGCTTTATTTTAGAAACATTCAACTACACAATGATGTCATAATTTCCCATCATTTTTGAAATCCTAAAATAGCAGAAGGGAACTGCCCAAAACAGGCAAAGAATTATCAACTTTAAATCTCTGAAACAATGTAACACAAACACCAAGTCGTGATTTGAAACAAAACTGTTTCTTAGGCAAGATTCCCTTTAATATGTCTTTTTTTTTTAAATTTCAGTTCAATCAGTTGCAGGCCTGGGCTCAGAGAATTTGTGCTGATCACAATGTTGGTAAGAAAAGAAATCCAATGTGTTTATGCTAACCTCAAGGTCTGTCATGGTTTCAATGAAATCTCTACATTCCAAAAACAAAATCCCAACTTAGTGTCTAAGATTGTTTAAGGGTGAAATTTTAGGGGTACTTGAATGTTCATAACATGAACCTTTACTGTTCTACGGAATAACTAGACAGTAGGTACAGAAACTCTCTTAGATATAATGGTACCACAACATGGAAGTTACTTTTTACAAAGTAGTAATACAGAAAGTGTCCTAAATAGAACAATTGAAGCAAAAGAGTGACGAAAGACAGTACACTTCTGGAGAAAATGGAAAACATATTTTTTAACAAGTAACAAATCATGTTTGCTGGAAAATAAGGGTACTGTCTATTACTATTTTAACTACTACAGTTGGAGCCGGCTAATTTGAACTCGCTTATTTTGAATTCCCTGTTATTTCGAACTCAAAACCATTTCCCTTGGATTTGCCCTTTGGTCATTTACTATTGGCTATTTTGAACTCCCGCTATTTTTAACAATTTTTTGTTTCCCCTGCAAGTTCGAAATGGCAAGGTTCAACCATTTTATTATTTTGCCATTTCACCATTCTACTATTAATTAGTTAGCTTCCATATGCATACACATTTTCCCTAATAGGAGCTTGCTTGATGTAATTATGAAATTTGTGTCCTAATTTTTCACAGTTTTATCTGTAGCTAACAGGTCCACTTGCGTACCAAACCCGCGATATCAACTTTAAGATATCAAAATAAGAGGATCTATATGGAAAAAGGGGTCACAGGTCAGGCCTTGGTAATGGTAGTAATACTGATTTGAAATTATTGTCTGTTTCACAGATGATCCTTCACTTACTAAGTCTTTGATGTCACTGTTGTATTCTTTGACTTTCCAGTGCAAAACAAGCGCAGGCTTGGTAAGGACAAAATCAGCAATTCACTCTCAAAGTAACATGTCTTGTCAGCCTATCAAACCGTTCAGTGTTGTAATGATTATTTGAGCCTCTACGGGTCAGGACAGCTAGAGGATATTCCTGTTGTAGGCATTTTTTTTTTCACTTGTAAGAGGTGAGATCTTGCACTGCTTACAAGGAGACCGCTTCTGTAAAGTTGGCTTCTTTCTTATGTTAGGTGCGTGATGTTGCCCAAGATGTTCACAGCCAGCTTGGAGATGTAGATGAGGTATAAGTTAACTGTTTTATTCCTGTCTTGTAAAGAATGTTTTCTTTCTTACAACACAATACAATAACTTCATTTTTATAGCGAGGAATTGCAAGTAAAGATACTAGTGAAAAGGAAGGTGGTTTCATCATAATTATGTAATAACTGCACTTTCAGGAAGTTGAAGTTGAAGACAGAACACACTTTGCAATTATCAACCCAAGAACTGCTGCACCTACTGTTGCGGTAAGTTCAATTTCAATTACCTTGATCATTGTTATGAATAGGATTCCACTAGTATACAAATCAAATGCTGCAATCTGACTGGCNTTTCCTCATTTGCATAATCCAAAAACGGAAATATCTCTAGAATGAAAAAAGATATTCCAAAAAGGGAAACATCATTCTTCTTCACTTCGAAAAGCCTTTCAAATAAGCAGCAATTATTTTTTACTTCATAGGCACTTTAAGAGCTCACTTGTATATGTGCATGTATGTTACACCCTGTCGTTTATCAATTGTGTGAGATATGATTTATTTGTTTTCTTCACTTCTCATTCTGCCTTTGAATTGGTAATAATAATGTGCTTTGAAATTATAGATCCTCTTGGTAAGCCAGATTGAGAAGATTGTGGATGAAATGGACTGGGCACTTGTTAAGGTCAAAGGAGACATAACATTATTAGTGACAGGAATGGCAGGTGAGCATGTTACATGAACCGTGATCCAACCTGCGGATGGCATTATTTATCCTTTAAACAGCAAGGCCTGCTACTAAAACTAATGGTAAATTAGTCAATACCAAAAATATGCACAAAAGACCACGCAAAGTTTGTCTCAATCATAGAGATGAAAAGGAAAAAGCATCAAGCAATCAGCAAAGGAAATGTCGTACATATTCAATTTATATTCTCCCTAGTTTTCTAGCATGTGTGTTTATTGTAGGTGTATGCAACAAACAACTTGAAAATGGACTTTGCATCTCTTACAGGAGTAGTTACAATTATAAAATACAAAAGATGACTTTCAACAGAAAGCAGATGCCATTCAAAACTTTTTGTTTTGCAGAAGAGAAGGTTCCAGATTCCCCTGATAGTTGCCCTCGTGGTTTGTTAGAGCAAGCCTTGTGTCATCGCCTTTGCACTGTTGTAGCTGCTCTTCATGAACTGTCCCAGTCTGCTCTTCCTGATGGTCCTTGTACAGAAGCAACCCTGAAGGTGACTAAAAAGTGGCACCTCGAATTTTACTCAATCGTTTTGCTTGTTTTTCGAGGTTCCATGGGTAAAGTCCAACCCTGATATGACCAAATCCAAAAGGGCGATTGTTGCTGATGTCATTTATTATATATGCCTCTTTGTCATATGACTTTGTTTTCAGAAGGCATCATGGTGGATACAACCTGACCTCAAACATTTATGACCTTCTGAAATGTAGTAAATGTTGAAGTGTGTGATTTTGGAAAGATATATTGGCTTACAAAAACTGTAAATTTCTGGTTGGCAAAAGCAATGTGACTTACTCTTTATAAAATTGGAGGTTTTTTCAAAGTCGGCATCAAACAAAAAAAGTGTTAAATAGATTAAGCTTAANCCGTTAGTGTAGTCATACGTGACATTATTTTGTGGTTCATATTTAATCGGAAGGTTGTGCTGAAATATTTCTTCCTTCATGAATAAAAATGTTGTTTTCTCATCAGGCAAAAGTAATGAAGGAGGTGAAGTCAGTACCAAACTTGATATATGCAATTGAACAGTATGAGCGTTACCTCATACAGCTCTCTAAAAAGTCCAAGGTGAGAACGACCTGACAGATATTATGGTCTTGGTCATTTGAAGGTGTCGTTTTGATCTTGTGTTGACACCAAGGCTTTAAATTATGGAAATGCAGGTTTGTATAATTTTACTGCAGTTTTGTTTGGGATGGCTGGTGTTCAGATGTTGGGAAAACCTGATTTGGTCCTTGAGGTATTCACTTTTGGGAACACTTGGATGTGATCTTTGAAGTGTTGACGTGTGGAAACACTTGGGTGTAGCACTTACGGTGTACACATGGGGGTACCCTTTGTTGTGGTATCTAAGATGTCTGCATGTGAGTACTTATATGTGGTCCCTGAGGCTTTTCATTTTGGGGAGTTCACTGTAGTCTTGTTTAGAATGGCTTATCAGGAAACATGCACAATCTTTGTTCCACTGTCTCGACCTGGAGTAAACCCAAACTGTCCAGTGTGCCATCTGCGCAAGTGATAAGGGGTATAAACATCTTCCAGAGCTTGATTTCATGACTCATATTCTCCATAGAGGTTGGCAAATACGTCTTAAAATATTGTGTACCGGACTTTTAAGATATCAGTGCAATTTACATGTAACTTTGGTGACCACTNATTTTGGGGAGTTCACTGTAGTCTTGTTTAGAATGGCTTATCAGGAAACATGCACAATCTTTGTTCCGCTGTCTCGACCTGGAGTAAACCCAAACTGTCCAGTGTGCCATCTGCGCAAGTGATAAGGGGTATAAACATCTTCCAGAGCTTGATTTCATGACTCATATTCTCCATAGAGGTTGGCAAATACGTCTTAAAATATTGTGTACCGGACTTTTAAGATATCAGTGCAATTTACATGTAACTTTGGTGACCACTTGCGTTATTCTCCGTGCTTTCTTGACATCGTATCAATATTATCAGGAGACTTTCAGATTGTGAGTATTTTACAAGTAGCTCTGAAGAGTGTTAATGTTATAGGAAGTGTCCTGAGATACGGGGTGGGGAGTTCCCCTCATTGAATAATTTTCAAGGTTTTCTCCAGAGCACCGTGTATACTGGTGACACAAAATATGTTATTTTGTCGTCTTAGATTAATCTGATGGAGCACTTTAAGCGCAGTACTGCAAGAGACTTCCGTATCAATGGTGCTACACTGGAGGCCGCTCTGAGACAGGAGTCAAGTGATGAAGAGGAGGAGCATGATGATGAAAATGATGACCAACAAGATGAGGTAAATAATGACGTGTATATGTATACTACTCAATTGTTACAGTACTCATTTCTTTTGCTGAAGTAATAATTACAATGATCGACTCATCTAGGTTTTGACCGACCACACTCTGGTCTTGTTACTTGTTTATTAGACAGTTCCATCATAACTCTACTCTGACAGTTTTCAATGGTACTTGTGTAAAGGATACTAATTTTTGTAGCGGGACTAGCCAATTGCAATAATTATTACAGTGGCCATTTGCCTGAACATGCAATGCGTTTTAATTTAGTTCCTAAATTAAACATATATTTAATAATAAAAATAAAATAATAATAATAATAAATTAATATTTTAACGAGACCTCCAATCATATAGTAGTAGGGTGCCAACCAAACTTGGCTGAAATCGTTACAATGATCGAGAGATTTTACAGGATTCACAGTGGAACGGACGCACATCTAGCTTTAGTCTGGAAAATCAATTATATCGTCTTCCAATTTCTACTTCCCAGAATAAATCTGAAGAAGAAAACCAAGAACCTCCAAAGAAAAAGGAGAAAATAATGACCACGAACAAGAATGCAGGCAAGCTTAGTCTAAAGCAGAAAGCTTCCAACCAACTACTATCACATGGAAACAAGTAGAGACATACCTAGCTTGTGAGAGCAGACCTTTTATGGCCAAAAAAGTAGTCCACTCTCGCAGACTAAGGGGTGCCTGGGTCGTGGTCACTTCTCAGTGTCAAGCATGCTTGTCTGACTCAGCGATAGGATTTCCTATATGCTACCTAACGACTTCCTTTCATGGAAACCTTAGTCGAAAACTTGTTAATGCAGTTTTGTTATTGTAGCACAATCGTCCTTAATTTGGGACATCTGCTCCAATTCTGCTCCAAGGAAGAATTCTGTCACCTTGCCCTACAAGACAGAGGTTACTCATCACC